TTTGGCTGTGTCCCTTCCCAAATCTCATCTTGAATTGTAGTTTCCACAATCCCCACGTGTCATGGGAGGGACCCAGTGGAAGGTAATTGAATCATGGGGGCGGGTCTTTCCTGTGCTGTTCTTGTGATCGTGAATAAGTCTCATGATATCCGACGGTTTTATAAAGGGGAATTTTTCTGCACAAGCGTGCTCTCTTGACCGCTGCCATGTAAGTCCCTTTGCTCTTCCTTTGTCTTCTGCCATAATTGTAAGGCCTTCCCAGCCATGTAGAAATGTGAGTCAATTAAACATCTTTCCTTTATAAATTACTCAGTCTCAGATATATCTTTATTAGCAGTATGAGAACAGACTAATACAGCAAGTATAAAAAGTATTAAAGGTTTGTCTTCTAAAGGAAGAGAGGAGAGTAGAGAGATTGTTAGCTGAGGGGTAAAGGATTCTTGTTACTAAGATGTTAGAGCCTAGAACACATTTAAATACTGATGAGAAGGATACAAGAGAGAGGTAAAATTTGAATCAATAGTTTGTTTCCACTGCCACAGAAAAGGATGATATCCAGAGGTTTGGTAGAGGGATGAGTTTTCCTCATAGGAAAGATAAGAGCAGATGGAGCTGAACGCTGGATCCTAAGGGTGGGATATTAAGGGAGTCTGTTTTTTATGGATTTTATTTTCTCTTTGATCTTGGAGGAAAGGATGTCTGCCAAGATATAAGGGCTTGGACAGGAGGATCACCGTTTTGATGAATAAAAACATGAAACAGCCACTTCAGAGAGTGGGACAGACAGTATGTGTTTTAGTTTAGACTAGTGTCCCTGGAGTTATAGGGGTTTGAATTCAAATCCGCGCTCCTCCACTCACTTGTGGTACTGTTAACGACCAACAGAACCAAGTTAAGACCCCAAATCTTCTTTAAAGTGGAATGATAATGGCATGTTCATCAGACTTCTTGGGAGTAATAAATGAAATACTTTAGTTCAACTATTTTCACCGGTCCTCACACTGGGTTTTGAATAAAGTGTGCCCAAGACTATTGCTATTATAAAGCAAAATGAAAAAACACAATGGCCCTATTAATATGTACCTTTACCTCCTGTAAAGAAAGGTTTTCAAGGAGTTCAATACTAAGAAGAGTATTGTTTGAAATGGAGATTCACATTACTAGGTTAACATGTGGAGATCTTGCTCAAAGAGGAGGCTGGTTTAGGTGCTGTGATAATTGTAGATGTCAAATGGACTGGATTATGGAAATACCTAGAGAACTGGTAAAGCATGATTTTTTGGTGTTTCTGTGAGGATGTTTCCAGAAGACTTTGGCATCTGCGTCAGCAGACTGACTGAGGAAGATCCCTCCTTGCCGTGGGCAGAGCCATCTTATCAGCTGATGGCCCAGATGGATCAATAAGATAGAGGAAAGAATGTGTGTGTTTCTCCTTCTTAGGGCTGGAACTTACTCTTCATTCCCTGCTCTTGAACAGCGGAACTCTACTTTTTGGACTCTAGGACTAGTGTACTAGCACCCCACTTCCCATAGCTGAGTTCTTACTCCTTGGATCTTGGTCTGAGAGTTACACGGTTGGCTTCCAGGGCCACACCATCGCATGCCAGGATCTCCAGCTTGCAGATGCCTTGTCCAGAGGCTTTTCAGGCTCTGTAATCAAATGAACCAATTCTCCTAACAAATGCTCTGTCTATCTATCTATCTATCTATCTATCTATCTATCTATCTATCTATCTATCCATCCATCCATCCATCCATGTATCTGTCATCTATATCTATCCTATTGGTTCCATCTCTCTGGAGAACCCTAATACAGGTGTCAGCAAACCAAAACCAAGTGGCAAATATCTACCATTGACAATCCTTTCCTTTCTTAATGACTCTTAGGAACCAAAAACACATGTAAAATTCCATGTACTACACAAGCCAGGAAAGGTAAAACACTGTATCTGCTACTTTACATAGCTCATTTCACTACCACAATCTACCATTATTCAAATACTGATTTAGAAAATGACAGCCTCCAAAAGACTAAAATCATCCATTTTTATTTAGAAGAAAAAGAAATGAAATTTTAATGACAGGCAATTTTAATGTTACTATTTCAATTTATAAGATGTTACTTGCTGAAAATTGTTATGTGCTAAAATGATAAATACTATGTGTTATAAAATATTTTGTCATTGAAAAATGACCTATTATTCTGACCTACTTTATTTTCAGGGGTACTTACAGATAAAGGATTTTATAAAGGCTTCTGCTAAAGAGGACATCAGAGAAAAATAGGACGAAGTAAACTCTTTCTATGAGTTTCTTAAAATTCACAAAAGTAGTCTCTACTGGTTTAAATGGTGTCCCCTCAAAAGTTATGTCGTTTCCAGAACCCCAGAATGTGCCCTTATTTGGAAATAGGGTCATTGTGGATGTACTTAAATAAAATGAGGTAATACTAGAGTAGAGTGGGCTCTACATCCAATATTGCTGATGTCTTTCGAGGAAGAGGAGCAGAGAGTCACAGGGAATGGTGATCATGTGAAGACAGAGGCAGAGATTGACTGATGTGCCTGCCAGCCAAGGAAGGTGGTGCATTGCTGGACACCACTAGGAGGTCGGAGAGAAGCATGGTGCAGATTCTTCATCCAGTGGGAACCAGCCTGTGTGTTAATTTCAGACTTCTACCCTCCAGAACTGTGAGACAATAAATTGACTGAAACTAGTTTAAACCACTCAGTTTGCAATAGTGTATTATGTCAGCCCTAAGAAGCTAATATAAAGTCCTAAAGAATTTCAATAAAGGTGTCAGGAATTATAGATCACAGACAATACAGATAGGACCTTCTAGCATTCTTACACTTCTGTAGTGTTTGTTGCTCATTCGGTCTTTCCTATTTTTTTTTTAATTGTGATTGGCAAAAAACCCTTGAAAAAACCAAGAAACAATACCAACAGAAACAAAGCTATGTACTTGTTTTGGGAAGCAACCTCAAATGGTAAGATGGGGGCTGTGTTCTAAAAGGTGAGGAGAAATTTACAGCGAAGGTAGAGAGATAAAGGTAAACGGTCCTGTGCACCACTGAATTCTGAGAACTCTGAACAAATCATAAGTATATGTTAGTGCCCAATGAATAGTTGTTGAATGAATGGATGAATCAACAAATACATGAATTAATGAGATAATCAATCTTTGAGACAAAAAGCAACACAAATGAGGAGACAAGAGTGGGTGAGTTTGACTAAAAATTGAAGATCACCCATTTTTTTCAGCCAACAAATAGGTGAGCATCTGCTGTATGCCAGACATGGGTACTGGTGTTTGGCATAACGAAATAGCAAAGCAAAGTCTTACTGTCAAGGAACATAGACTCCTGGAATTTAGAAGAAGGGGCATAGGACAAATCAGAGTTTCTGCCATTTTAAAATTCTTTTTCATTGCAATACAGCTGAAGTCAAGTTGCTCAGAAATAAAGCAAGATAAATCAATTGGTTTAAAATACCTTTCACACTATCCTTCCATGGAAAGTGCAGAGAAGGGTCTAGTCTCTAAATGTAGGCAGCTGGAGACTCCCTTTTCCTATATTCCTTTAAACCCCACGCCCCAAAACATGTAATCAAGTCTATTCTTGAACAGAAAAGAGCAGAGTGCCCTTTCTCTTTGGAATTTTATATGAACCCCTGAGAAAAGCTGCTATGGTCCTAGTTTGTAAAAGTACAAATGGGTGAGTATGCATCTGCTCGGTTCAGTTGGGAAATTAGCACAGGTTTCAGCACTCCTCAATACCAACTGATTATTGAACCATGTACTAAGGGAAGCTCCTGTACAGACCAGTAAACCACACAATTGCAGAAATCCCCTAATTAAATAAACACACCATAATCTTCCTGGTGAATCTGAAGAGAAGGTTTTTTAGAAAAGTACATCTGTATAACATACATTTGTGTAAGAAACAATCCTTTTTCATTGAAGTGCAGCTATATTGTTAGATGTTGTTCTAAGAAAACTCAGCTTAAAATTTCTTATGGGCTGCTTTGGCTGAAAATAATTGCCTAACTGGATGGTCACAAATGACCAAGAAACCAAATATATTTCATAGTATTAACTAACATTACAGACTGTTAAATAATACTACACAGTAGAGATCTTTTGAAAAATATTTTAAATGATAGATTCTATTTTGGCTTGAGGCAAAGTCTTAAACATAACAAGTTAAATAAATTTTTAATGAAATTTTACAAGCAAAAGAATTAATGTTCAAGACACAGAATCATGCCTTTTGGAAATGACTCTCATGATATTCTATTATTTAAAAAACTATGTGCCTATTTTTAGGAATTAAAATTGCTCTGGTAGATACCTGATAGATACCTATCTCACAAATCATGTTTTTCTGTCACAAGTAAATTTTTAAAATGTTTTAGTTTATAGGGTGTTTGTTTGTTTGAGACAGGAGCTTGGGACTCTCTCTGTCACTCAGGCTGGAGTGCAGTGCTGGCTCACTGAAGAATCCCTTCCGGGTTCAAAAGATCCTTCCTCCTCAGCTTTCAAGTAGCTGGGACTACAGGCATGCGCCAACATGCCTGGCTAATTTTTAAACTCTTTGTAGAGATGGGGTCTAGGTTTACCTGGTTGGTCTTGAACTCCTGGCCTCAAGCAATCCTACTTTGGCCTTCCAAAGTGTGGGATTACAGGCATGAACCACTATGCCTGGTGAGTTTCTAATTTTTACATTCGGTTCATTTTTATGTGACTGGCATTTGCGTAGGATTATTTTTATAACCAGTATATTTTAGGTATGTAACCCAGAAGTAAATCACTAATTAATCTACACTGGAGGAAATATGATTTAGGGAGAGTAGAAATTCTATTTGATAGACTGCACCAAAGGTAAGGTGTCACAGCCTTGGAGAGCCTCAGTGACTTTGGGAAAAACAAGCACCAAGACTGACCTTCCGGATCCGAGGTCTGGTAGCAGGATGGTTTTCAGTTCCATCTGTTGGAGGTCTCAGCTTCTGACATAAAGGCCTGCTTTATACAAAATGAGCCTGATTGAAGGATGTAAGCCACCAGGTTATAGGGAGAACTACAGGAGGCAGACAGGAGAAAATAAAAGAGTGATGTTGTTCTTCCACTAGCCTGTGGCTACTAACAAGTTTCGTCAGAATGTTGCTGAGGAGTCCTCAGAACAATTTACAGAGGTAACTGTAAGCAGTAGAGGGCTATGGAAACGCTCCTGGGTGCTGACAGGAGCCCCTGGCGGGTGGTGAGTTGGGAATACGGGGGCTGTATAGGGATGAGGGAACTGTGCTTGACACCAATCAATGGGAGCCTGGAGAAACTGAGGCAGGGACTGGAGTCATGCTGAGACTCAAACGTTTTGGGCTGGAGTACTCACCAGGTACTCTAACTCAATCATATGCCTTGGGTATAAGGAAATTAGGAATAATTGGAACTGTGGCTGGCCCCAAATTTCATGCCCTATTTACAGCCATTCATCAGATTTAGAATGAGATAAAGGAAGGATTCTTTTTATTATTTTTTAAAATACCCACTACATGTTTTACACCCACATCATAAATCACCCAGAGGGAGAATTAGGCCTGTGGACCCCCCATTTTGTAGTACCTCATATGTAATTTTTTTTTTTTTTTTTTTTACAGACTCTCGTTTTTTGGTACAAGTGAATGAGGAAAAGGCTTTGCTGTTGTTGTTTTTATTCTTTATAAGAGTACCTCTGGATGAAAATTGTTAAGAAAGCTAGTTATTGTATCTTTATATGACTCTAAATTTGGTCTGTTTAAAAATTCAAAACATAGACATTTGGAAATGACTTTCTCGTCTCAGTACTGAAGTTGAGAGGGAGAAGGAAAAAAAGTGAGAAATTCCAGTGCCTGGATATTCCCAGGCTAATTTCTAGACAAGTGAGTTTTGATAAGTTCAAGTTTCAGATAAGAATTTCTTTTTTCTTCTCTTGTTGGTTTTTCCAAATCGTGGGTAAAAATGTCTCTGAAAGATCCTGAAAAAATATATATTAATGTGGAGAATTATTGACATAAAATTTTAATAAATTAGTATGAGAATGAGACACTACAATAAATATTATTTAGAGTTATTTTAATAGTCCTCTCCCCTATCATCACCCATTTAAAAAGGTGGGTATATATATATGTGTGTGTGTGTGTGTGTGTGCATTCATAAAAATTTAGTGTGCAGTTCTTAGTTTTTCTTTATGCAAAACACACAAAATAAAGGTGAATAATTGAAGCCATTACACACACATTTTTCCTCCTAAGTTCTGTAAATAGATATTCCAATAAAGACACTACCAACATCTTACTTTCTGTCTTAAATATAACTGAGAGTATTTATATATTAAACTTTTTAAATAAGAAATGATTGGATTTCAATTTGCCTTAAAGATTCATAATGTAATATTCTTCACCCTAAATAACTCAGATTATTTCTAATTTTTTATTTAATTTGCCTTCATAAATACAGCCTTGGATTAATATAATTTAGTGGAGTTGATCAATCTGAGATATTTTTACCTTCCCCCATTACAGCATGCCATGAAATGAAAATTTACTTTGCTGCTTAAATGTATCGAACACAGTTTCTGTGGTCTAGTTCCTCTCCTTTCGTAAATGTGCTTAGAGGATCTCATAAGACGTTAACTCCTCTGACAAGAGAACCATTTTAGCACCAACACTACAAAAGCTTCTGTGTTCCTAAGGGAAAGATCCTCTCCTGAATTAAATTTAACCTCTTTAGTACGTGCATTTAGCCACCTGATAAATCCACTTGAGCTATCTTTTGGGGAGAGAGAGGTACCTGGGAACAATAACACTTCCTTTTTGAACTGTTTAATAAAGCTTTGTGAGATTCCGAGATGAAAGATAATGTGTAATGCTAATAGTGCCCTCCACAGCTCTGCATTCATGGATCCAATTACGTTTTTTGTCACGGTAAAAGCCACAGTGGATATATTAAATGAGAGTGTGGCTTAAGAATGAAGGCCCAGGAGTCTGGAGATCTGGTTTCTAAGGCTGACTTAACTTCTGCTTTCTTATCTCTCTATGAGTATGCAGCTTAACATCGTTACCTCAGTGTCTCCTTCCATAAAGTGCCCAGCAAATATCTGAGAAATTCTTTTAAAATGACAGTGCAAAGTGCCATTTAGAATCACCTTGGAATGTCTAGAAAAAAATGAGCTGAGTGTTCCAAGAGGGAAATACAATCTTCTGCTTAATTTCAGAGTGATCATAAAGTTTGTCTTTTACTTTTTAAAAGTCATGAGATTTCCAGAAGAGGAATGACATTTTCAAAGCCTTAAGGACACTTGTGAAAACACTCCTTCAACTATTCTTTATTTCTCACCAAAATTTTGACTCTGGCTTTTCTCCAACTTCCTCTCTTCCCCAATTCTCAATTCCAACTTGAAAAGAGTAATTGCAATTTTAACTTTTTCCATCCTGGAGTATTTTCTTGCAGCTAATTTGTTTCATATAATTGTAAAGTTATGCATGTCAGATTTTATTTTAGATACACATGATTGCTGGCTTTAGTCAGTCAATCCCCAAACCCTTAAACTGATTAATTTCACTGTGAAATAATTGATTATGAATTTGTAGCAATATCTGATTTTATTTTAAAATTCAAGTTGATAGAGCATTGTCATTTACTGATTAATCTATTGCCCTTTGCCTTGAGATAATCTTGAAGAAGCAGAATACTGCCGTTAGTAAGATGACATCTATGTATTACAAATGACCATGTTCTTAAAATACACACACACGCACACACACACGGAGACATACTTTCTAGTAATAAGCAGTGTTTTGAGTAAAATCTTTTGAAAGATGTTTAGCAAATTGAAACAATTTCTGTTTTCCTATGTGATGCCTGCAATTATATGGTTTAGATATTTATTGAAGGACTTGGGAAACATCATAGGCCCACTGGCATTATTCTCAATGTATCAAAGATTCATTCAGTATAAATAAATAATTTCATTATTTATAATAATAAAAGTTGTCATGGAAAATTTTATAACCTGATAAATAGGATGTCATAGAAATACTCAACATGGAAAAATAAAATATATACATAGTTTAAATTAGACCATCTGTTACAGAGTTGTACAGTCTAACTCTCTGGCCAGGTAAGCTTCTAGCATGAAACTTCACACAATCATACCTATAATGTATTCTTGCCTAATTCCTTGTTCCAAAGGAAAGTTTGATAGGGAAGTTGAATAATTTCATTTCCTTTTAGAGATGGTAGAACTTATTTAAGTAGCTTTCCTGTAGTACAAAGATTAGGCAGCTTTGATTGGAACTCTAGATTGAAAATGAATAGAAATAACTTCTTACAGACCACATCTAAATTTAACTTTGCTTCACACCAATAAACTATAGCCTCTACTACTTTATAGACAGATTATAGCTCATCAGTATGACTAAAAATCACTGTGGAATTACTCTGTAATAGTTTTGTTGCTATGCCTATAAATATAATTTCAGTGAGTGACTTTTCCATTTTCTAGCTGCCTGACTATACTTTTTTTGCATGGCAAACTAAAGGACTTTAAGAATATGGTAAATGACAAATTTAAATAGCCTCAGATAAAACATGAAAGTCGACATTAAATTATCTGGTTAAAAATTATTTTCAGAACAATTTAAAAAATAACATTTTTCTATTGATTTTAACTTAATGTTTATACTATTCTAAAAAAGTAAAAAAAAAAATGCAATTTTGCTTATACTCGTAAAGCCTAACATAAAGAAAATAACAGCATTATTTAGGGGAAAAAGTCCTGTTACCCAGTGAATAGATAATTAAATAATTATCATAAGAGGCAAAAGACAGATAGCATCAGATATTGTAGCTTGGTAGAGCTTCACTACTAGGTGGTCTAACAGTTGAAAATAATCCAAGAAACAGTTTTAAGTGTTTTATATTTAAAACACCTACACACACACACACACACACGTAGACAGTGTGAAATTTACATTGTTCCTTTCCCATGTTATTGTTGTGTATGGGCAGGCTTATTTTTCACATATTTCCCTCTAATAGCCTCGTAGTTCTAAAGAGGCACACAGCATTATCACCAAAGATGCTTGACAAAGATGGGTATTCTGAGGGTGATCCAGATTTACTGATGATGGGAGGCCTGGAAATCTGAAAATTCAACAAACTTTCCTAGTAATTTTTATATAAAACAAAATTCAAGAAAAACTACTGCATGAGAAAATATGAAGAAGCCAGTGGATACTTTTTTTTTTAAAAAAAAAGTTTTAAAATGGTTACTGTGTAATAGACAAATGATTTCTGAGCTAGAGAAAAGTTCAACATGAAATATAATCTAATATTAAAAAGCCCAGAGAAGTTGCTTTCATAAGTTCGAAGATTAGCATTTAGCTTTCTCCTGGTTAAAAGTTTAAAACGAAGAAGATATATACTCTGCGTAGGGCTGAGGAAGGTAAAGGACCCAAGGATATAATGATCTCTGTAAATGCCTCTGTGCCATTTCCAAATAATTGTCCTCATGCCCTTTCTTCCATCCTTCTTTCCTTGTTACCTTCTCTCTTCCTTCTTCTGTCTCCTTTGCTGCAACAGTATTTAAGTGGATGTATAATACACATTAACTCTATCACATCTTTTAACGTACATGTTGGTTTAGTGATTGTGGAGCGATTGTAGGAATAGTCCATTTTACTGAATTTTTCAGAGGTTTTTGGTTAAAACAAAATTCCCTCAGAGATTCAAATGTCATCTGTTAATTGAAATATATACATCTGTGTTTTGAGATTAAGCCCAAAGGAAGGGTGGCTTCTGTCTCTGGATCGGACTATATGTTGAGTCATTTAATTACAGTAAAACAAAAATATCAAGATGGCAACAAAAAATTGTGATGCCTCATTCTTGATTCCTCATGAAATGGATTGCCTATACCGTACTTACATAACACGTGCGTAGCCTTTCCAAAGCTCCAAACCTCACGATGAAATGGTCCGTTCCTCCCTTTCCTGTGCGAGTGTTGGGAAGTTTCCTCTTCCCCATCAAGGGGCCTTTCCTCCCGTGCTGACCACAAGGTAGTTTTTCGAGGGAATCTTAAGTTTTATTAGTATTTTATGAGATCTTAGATAGGGGTAAATGATTCCTCTTATTTTGCTGTGGAAAGAGAATGGAGGGTGATAGTGAATGCAGGAGAAAGTTGTGAAAGACTGAAATGAGCTGTAAATATTACTAAGTCACGTGACTAGCAGAGGCTTCCAAGATTTCTCTGCCTTTCATCATCTTTGAGCTATTTTACAACTTTGTAAAATTTTAAAAATATGGCATAAATGCAATTGACTTTCTTTCAGAAAAATGCAAAATAATTGTGTCCAGTGAGAATGCTGTGGACTATTGTTCTGTGAATAGACCAGTTCTACCTATATATGATTTTGAATTTGCCTTTGAATCGGTGGTAACATCTTATTGTTTCTCTTATTAATCAAGTAAAATCTTTGATTTATATTCATGATATATCTGTATAAGCTACCACGAAATGTTTTTAAATGCCTTATCATGTAATATAACCAACTTTCTAGACAAATAGTGCTCCCTTTCTTATTTTCAAGTAAGTAGCAAAAAATTATTTGACATTCTGATCCCATCAATTTAATTTTTGTATGAAAGGATGAAAATTTCCTAGAAGCCATCTTGGTATCATCTAGGTAAATCTCATATCAAATCTGTGCTAATATGTTATTTGTCCTGTAACTGGTTCTTAGTCCAAATTTCATACCATTTATTCCAGTCCTATATCCCTCACCTCGATCAATATAAAGTGCATTGGCCACACATTCTTATTCTCTGTATAATAGCTTTAACTCAATTTTCAAACAGTATTTTAAAAATTGAATGGCCGGGTGCGGTGGCTCACAACTAATCCCAGCACTCTGAGAGGCCGAGGCGGGCGGATCACTGGAGGTCAGGAGCTGGAGACCAGCGTGACCAACATAGTGAAACCCGGCTCTGCTGAGAATACAAAAAAAATTGGCCGCGTGCGGTGGCTCACGCCTGTAATCCCAGCACTTTGGGAGACCAAGGCTGGTGGATAACGAGGTCAGGAGATCGAGACCATCCTGGCTAACACGGTGAAACCCTGTCTCTACTAAAAATACAAAAAATTAGCCGGGCGTGGTGGCAGCACCTGTAGTCCCAGCTACTCCGGAGGCTGAGGCAGGAGAATGGCGTGAACCCGCGAGGCGGAGCTTGCAGTGAGCCGAGATCGTGCCACTGCACTCCAGCCTGGGCGACAGAGCGAGACTCTGTATTGGAGGGGAAAAAAAAAAAAAAGAAAGTAAAAGAAAAAAAAAGAAAAGAAAAAAAAAAACAGCTAGGTTTGGTGGTGCAGGCCTGTAGTCTCAGCTGCTTGGGAGGCTGAGGCAGGAGAATCTCTTGAACCCAGGAGACAGAGGTTGCAGTGAGCCCAGATGGCACCATTGCACTCCAGTCTGGGCAACAGAGCAAGACTCTGTCTCAAAATAATTTAAAATAAATAAATGAATGAAAATAGAATATTTTGGTTGAGGGTACATGGGTGAGCTGTTTTATTTTATATATGTAGGATTTCTAAAATAATTTTGCTTTTACCAGTCCAACTTCTATAATTTACAAATATGTAATAAATAGTAGATAATATTAATGAATGTGTTGTTTGGTATTTTGTTAGTTGACTTAAAAATGAGAATGATAAAAAAGGCATGGTGTCAAAGGCACTTCAAAATTATTACTCATGGGGGTAAAAAAAATAAGTAAAAGAAACCAAGACAAGATGCCAGCATGGCTACACAGAGGAATTCCAATTTCCCCAAAACTGGAAAATAATAGCATTTTCAATGAGGACAGACTGCTTAACCTATAACAAAGATACCTGCCGTATATTAGAAATTCTGTTTGTTTATCCTTAAGCAATTATTTTAATGTTGATAGTTTATTCTGATTAGAGATATAACAAGACTGTAACTCTAGTCTCTTCTTGGAAAAAAAAAAAAATTCCAATGAGCAAGATGATTAATCCAGTTAAGAAATATGTCCAGCCTGGGGACAAAAAAAGTAGATCAAATTTTGGTTAGGAAGATTAACCAAGTAAAAATCCAGTAGCTAGAATTTATTGTAAAAGCCAAGAAGAAATCATCCAAGAAATAAAAAACTAAAAATAACCCTCAATATGGAATAAAAAAAGACATAGATTCTCTTTGCATTCAATAGAGACTGAGAAAACACAACTGTCAGAAGATTAAATATTGCTTTGGAATGTTTAGAAATATGATGAAAGTAAATTAGACAATTGCTAGAAAAATATTCTTCAGTTGGTTCCCCTGTGCATCAAAAAATTCAACTTGATACTCCGTTTTCTTTTCCTTGACAAATTTAGGGCTTTTATTAGTGCTATGACAGAAAGAAGGAATGCTACCAAAAAGACCATTTGAATCTACTTTAATTATTTCAGAGTAGGGAACCCATAATTGGAAAGTAATTTATAACCTTGAGTTTGTAAAATCTGTAAACTCTCACAACGATGTGAAGGCAGAGAAAGTATCAAACTCGGTCCCCTATAATAAGCTCATTACTTCATAAATATATATCCCCCTCATCTATGTGTCAGAAATGTTTAAAATTTTCACCATTGGTACATTATTTTTGGGCCTTACATTTTTGTGGATTTGGTGACTACTTGAAAGAAATAAAATAGGATTGGATAACGTGAATTTCTTTTACACTCATTGTCACTATTAGAAAATAAGGCCCAAATAAAATATGACAGAGCAGAATTAGTTTTAATACAGGAAAAATTTGTAAGTTGAAGAGGAGAAAATGCAGCCAGGAACTAACAGTACACACCTAAGCAGTGAAGAAAGCGTGAATGATGATAAGAGGAAGGAAATTTCTGTCCTCCAGCTACTTTGAACTTAGTGTTCTGCCTAGCACTAATATTATTGAACCTTATGGTATAGTGCTTAACTATTTAATGAGATGATAACTCTCCTACTTGCAGAAAATGTAGATGCCTTGCCTACCTCTGCTTGTATATATGCTGAAACATACTGATGTCTGCTGCCTTCTTAATTTTACATTAATTTTTAAAGTAAGGATTGATTTGATTTAAAAAATGCACTTGGAAAAATTATTCTGCTATTCCCCCATTTCTTGTTCATGTCTATTTACAACTAATAAGACTTGCATGCAAATAGATATATGGACAAGATCTCACTTCTTTTCATGTCTGGCTTCTCCCTGTTTACCCACAATTATTTTCACAATATTTTATTGTGATTCCACAAACCAGGGACAAATCTCTGAAGAGAAGAGTGTTCCAAGGCATGGTCATCATTAGAAGACAATAAGCTTGTTTTCATTCCAACATCCTTAGCTTTGTTCAAGGCTAAGTGGAAGAAATTAACATACTGCATGCCTTTCAATGAAAATTGTTTCTAATTATTTTGCTTCACGAATTATTCCACCAGGCATTGATTAGACTTTTAAAATTTATTTCATATCTGTCACTCTCAGCTAACATTTGTAATTTTTTATTGTTGTTAAAGAGAATCTGTTAATTGAAATACAATTATCCTCTTTAGTAAAAGTAAATAAAATTACTTGGGTAGCCAACATATTCAAGTAATCATCAGTCTTGGTCAGAAATTAAAAATAAGATGAGCATCTAAACTTGGCACTCAAAGACTGACCATCTGCACCTTTGAGGCAAAATGAAATTCAGTTTAGGAAAATCTTATGAAAATCAATGTTTTAATTATGCTGTCAAGGGCTGTGGTAGGCAGAAATTTCTTTGCTCCACCCCTCAAAGATGTCCAGTTCTTAATCCTGAAAACCTGTGGATATATGATCTTATGTAACAAAAGGACTTCATAGATGTGACTAACGTTAAGGACCTGGAGGTGGAGAGTGACCTTGGTTATCCTAGTGTGTCCAATGTAATCACAGGCATCTTTATAATCAGTGAAGGACTCCCCACTGTGCTGAGAGAGGGGCATGCTAGAAGAAGAGTGGTCAGAGAAGCAACATTGCTGGCTCTAAAGACAGAGGATGGGCCACGAACCAAGGCATGCAGGCAGCCTCCGAAAGCTGGGACAGGCAAGCCCTGGAGCCTCCAGAACGCATGCAGCCCTGCCCATTCCTTGCTGTTAGCCAGGTGAGACATCTGTTGGCCTGATGAGAACTATGAAACAATGAATGTGTGGGTTTCTTCAACACAAAATTTGTGTTAATTTGTTATAGCTGTGATAGAAAACTAAGACAAGGTTATATCTTGGCATGTCAGATTTTAAGTTGTCTGCTATAGTTTAGAAAAGCTCAGAGAAGGAGCTACAGTTTGTCTCTTTTTAAAAAAGAAAAAAAAGATCACCTTCTAGGAGATTAAATATTAACAGGCTGGGTGTGGTGGCTGACGCCTGTAATCCTAGCACTTTGGGAGGCCGAGGCGCTACTGCACTCCAGCCTGGGCAACAGACTGAGACCCTGTCTCCAAAATAAATAAATAAGTAAATAAATAAATAAATAAAAATAAAGAATTAAACATTAACAGATTATTAAGTGAGGAGCTCTGTGAGACCTACCTTGGGTTTGCACCTATAGGTATTGAAAAGTTGGTACTTGAAAGCAAAACTACTACCTTAAATTCCCACTACACAAAAGTAAATCATGGGATTGAGGAAAATAATTTACTTGTTTGCTTCATAAAAAGAGTTATGTATCTCTTCGTAAGTTCTGTATGTTTTACAAGGTTGCATTGTTTGAACTGTAAGTGTAAATGGTTATTAACACTCCAGAAAACAAGAGGTACATTTGAATTGGAAAAATGGTATTCCTGTATCTTACGAATTAATTGAAATTTGTCTACTCTTGAAAATATGTCAAAAGTATTTTGTAGCTTTACTACAGTTTTATCTAACTTCTAGAGGAATTTAAATTCATATAAAGATAAAGAGTAACATAGCAATGGAGTTTAGAGAGTTTTCAGATTTGCTCAGAAGACTGTTCCTTTGAAAACCTATGAAGTTTTACCCAATATATATCTGGATCTAAAAATTAAAGAAAATATCAGTCGTGTTCAGATTCCTTTATACCCTGCAAAAGGGAGAAAGGATAAGCAACATCAATGAAGCACGTAATATGTGTGGGGTTTAGCACTTGTCATATTTTTAATCTCAGTACTTCAGCCAGATAAGTCTTCTTTTTTTATTTTTATAGATGAGGATATTGAGGTTTGCATTTCTTTTTAGAAATGGCTGTCATACAGTTGGCAAATAACTGACAGGAGAGTTCACTCCAGGTCTTACTGGCTCTCAAACCTTTGCTTTTTAAAAATTTCCAACCTAGCGCCTTCCCCTTTTAACTGCAAAATAAGCACAAAGTTATCCCAATTCTACACAGTGCAAAACAAATTCCTGTGAGCAAACAATTAGCACAGGCAGATGGAGTGAGGGGAGGTGGTTTATAACAATGGAAAACTGTCTGCCTGCTGGGAATTAAAGATTCAAACTCTTTGATCCTCCTCCCAGGGAGAGGTGAGGGCCTAGGTCTCCTCCTCATTAACGTGAGGGATCCTTGGCTAGGTTCTCCTTTGACTGACAGAATATGGCAGAAGTAAGGCTGAACCATATACCGGGCTCCGGCTCCCAACTCTGACATGTTCCACTGCCTGTCTCTAGGAACATTCACCGTGGGTGAATGTATGGCTATGTGCTGCCATACAAATGTCAGATTGCACTGAGGCCACCATGCTGTAAGAAACCTCAAGCTGCCTACCTGAAAAGGCTGGAGACAATCAGCACCCATCAGCTTTTCCAGCCTTTTGGGTTGTCCCAGCTAAATTATAGGCATTGTGAAGCAGAGATGAGACCTCCTGCCGTGCCCTTGCCAAATCCCGGGGCAACAGAATCATCATATACAGTAGTAAGTTTTTACTCGAAGCCACTGATTTGGGGAGTAGTTCTTAGGCAGCAAAAGATAATCAGAACATTGCGCCATGCAGGAGCTGATAAACTTGCTCACTGTTGTGCATGTATCCAATGACTACTCACACACACATTACTTGCTTCACCCTACTTTCTGGCTTTCCATTCAGCAAATTTTAAGAAACGAAAATGTTATTCATGAGAAATTAACTCAAGATGAATATTGTTATCGTTAAACTCTTCGTAAATGGTAAAATATTACATTATTGCTAGTCATTTTTATTTAAAGACGTTTGGTTCTTTAAATGAAAGAAGTTTGGGTCTTTTGTGGATACTCTGTGTATAGACATTCTAGACATGAAAGAACATTGAAGACAAAGAATGTTGAAGGCATATAGACATTAAGGAATTTTGAAGTTGGGTTCTTTTGTGGATACTCTGCATATAGACATTCTAGACTGGAGTGATATGTCTTGTTCAAGCTTCTATGTTTTTAAAATGATAACTTGACACACCTACCCAATGCCAATTTTTAGGATATAAATCTGTGTGAACTAAGGAAAATTCAGGAATGATTAAACCTACATATTTTCCCAGGAGAGACCAGATAACGTGAGTCTTTATATTTTTCACAACGTTAAGTTTACAGCACCCAAATGAGCAACTGCAGACATATATATGGGATTTCTCTGCAGGGTTCAAGTCTGCTCTGGCCGGAGGGCAGCACTCTTCCTGAGTGTGTTCCTAGGCATTCCTTGGCAGTCGGCTGCAGGCCACAGTGAAGAGCCCTGATGATTCTCTGAGCAGGCCCAGCTTCCATTCACATTCATGGGGATATGAGGACGACTTGGGATCTTCAGGACTAAGATAGACTCCTTCAGTTGGTGTGGGGGAAGCTCAGCTCATCTCTAGAGACTTCCCACAGGGGAGCTCATGCACGACTCTGTGCAGATGGCCCAGGACAGCCAGAGACAGGCACCTAAGGAGAGCACTGTCAGCCAGCGGACTCTCCACTGAGGGAGGTAGATGAGGGAGAAAGCCAGGTATCCCCATGGAATGGGCCTTAGTCAGGGAGACTGAGATTTTGCTCTACACATCACAAAACGTGGATGCCATTAATGGAATTTTTCACAGGACGTGACTGCCATAGCCATGATAGGGTCCCTGGCTAATCTTTAGGTTATGATAGCATCATAAGATAATTTTGAATATGAGGAGACAAGAATAACTGTAGAACTGCACTGTCCAATACGGTAAGCCCTAGCAACCTCAGGCTATTTAAATTAATTGAAATTAAAAGTTTAGTTCCTCAGTGCCACTAGCCATATTCCAAGTACTCAATAACCACACACACTTGGCTACCATGTTGGACAGCACAGACATAACATTTCCATAACTGCAGAAAGTCTTCCTATTCGACAGTCCGTCTCTAGAAGCAATCCGCGGTCTTTAGGGCCCTGAAAAACTGAGGTACTAAATCTCAGAGCAGTACTCTGCTCAACGCTTAGTTAAAAGACTTGCTAATCTGTATAGTTGATCTAGAGAACAGCTAGTTCTTAGAAACTATGTTGCTGGACCTTGAAACTGTGTGTCGGGAACCAGTTCTTAAAAACTATGTTGAAAGCAGCTAGTTCTTAGAAACTACGTTGCTGGACCTTGAAACTGTATGTCAGGAACTTGGCGTTCTGGTGGTGACTTCTCATTTATCTACCATGTTCAGGCTTTTCCTAGCACTCATATATCCATTCAGAAAGTATTTCAGAAGACCCTATGATTTACCAGGTGCTATTGCAGGCACGGAGACACTGGTGAACAAAACAAACAAGTCTCTGCCCTCAGGGATCTCACATTCCATGTGGTGATGCAGACAGTAAAAATTCACACACAGAAGATGCTTTCACACAGGAGTAAGTTTTATGAAGAACAATTCAAAAGGGGTGTGGGGTGAGAGAGGTTGATGTTCAGGTATTTACTTGAGAATGAGCTATTCATACAAAGAATCAATAATTCATTTGTTCCACAGATATTTTATTGGTTACCAGTTATTTGTAGGCTACTTTATTAGGTTGCCAGTGCAGGGTTTCATTAGCACAATTAAAACACAATGACATTTGTTAGAAATTCAAAGACCCATGTCTACTCTTGCATAATGAATCAGAGTCTCGAGGTTATGGTCCAGAGATTGTTGTATTTAAAAATCACTGAAGTAATTTTAAGATATAGCTGTAACAGAGAGGACACCGGCATTCTTCCTCAAACTCAACACACTAGACCAATGAGAAATCATTAAAATGAAGTAAATATTATGATCAAGATTGTTTTGGCTTCAAAATTAATGACAGATTGGAGAGGAAAGAAAGTAAATTGTAAAAGACAATTAGGAAACTCAAATGTATTTAGGTAATAGTTACAGAGGAACAAAAATGAGTAGAATCTGTGATAAGAGAAAGAATAAAAATAAACAAAAGGACTTAAAAAAGTAGGAATAAGACAGAAGTCAACAGTAACCCAGAAATTTTCAACCTCATGTCTAAGAGAACGATGATGCTATTTAGCAATATATCCAAACCAAAAATATTAGGAGAAGTAGGTTGGGTTCACTTGTGATGTTATAAATTTATAATTACTTTTTCTTTAATTGTGGATGCATGCTCTTCCTTTTTCTGAAGTTCTGAGACATACAAAAACAATAAAAAAAACCAAGATTTTATGCCAGAAAATAAGATAGGAACAATTCCTCATGTCCAATATAATTTTAGCCTCCCACGTAATCCAAAATATATGTGCTGCAAATTGTGGGAGTTTCAAAATTAGATCCAACTTCTTATTACAGTTAAAGATAAAAAGAAAACAAGGCTTTGTCTTTTTTAGGATCTTTTTTGGAACTTGCAACATAAAAATACTCTTTCAAAAAATATAGCTCAACATCAAAGTCCAATAAAACAGTAAACTGGTCTAAATATATTAGTATATTAGCCTGACCTAAGTCTGGGAATTGAGCCAGACTTTTCAAATTATACTATCATTATTTACAGAAAAAGGAAATGTTAACTAACATTATTAAATAAAAGCACATATACACATGCATAACAGGAAACAAAATAAATTTTAATGTTAACAAATGTTGAAGATGTATGTGTGCATATATTATATATATATTATATATGTATATATATACACAAAGCAGATAAAATATCCTCTTGGGCGTGATTGGAAATAGTAGCTATGCCAGGGGAAAATTTATGCAATCCCCTTGGCTATGGGCTTCACATTTATTGTGTTATACAAATATGCAAAAAAAAAAAGCCATTTCCACAGTTGCTTAAAACAAAATTGCAATTATACATTAGTGTTTAAAATTCTTTTTTCTTTCAACTCCTTTTCTTAATGAATGGCAGATAATGAAATTTAGGTGTTTGCAAAAACAAATGTAGTTTAAATTGTACCTTAGTTGTCTATGAAATACAAATACATTTTATATATTTATGGAAACATTTGTATGTGTTCAGAAAGTTGATATTTTGTATTCAAGATTGACCCTGTTTTAAGTCATATTTCATTTGCTACATTTTAATTGACTAAAGGCAGATACTTTGGCGTTCACTTTTTGATTCATTATTAAGGCAAATTATAACTTCTGCTTAAGATAGTTTTCCTGATCGGAGTAGACATTTAGGCTACCTATCTACGAAAACATCCCACTTTTCTATCTGAAATATTTGATCTCTCTTTACCCATTCTAGGGTTTTGTGCATTTCTAAGGTGATCATCTTGGTGTGGGGTCCTGATCTTCCCAGTGACTTAGTAGAGCAGTAATTTGGCTGAAATGTTGATGAGTTCAGACAAGAAGAAGGTGAGGATGACAAGAGAGCGTGACGGGGAAATTCTGCCCTGAGGAAGGAATAGTTTGAGGCTGGAGAGATGTGCTACCCCCGCCACTCTTTCTCAAATGATATTTATTCTTGAAAGACAGTGTAAAGTGTCTGAAATTGCAGAAGCAAAGTGGTTGCTGTAGAAATACATACCATGACATGCTTCAACTCGTTTCTTTAAAGGTTAAAGAAAGAAAAATGTGCATCTTGAAGAAAATTCCAAACCTTCATTGTGAGCAGTAATCCAATATTTCTATTTAGAAATTCAGAGGATTTTAAATAAGAAGCAGTTATTCCAGGCAAAAAGCAAATATAAATGCCAGCAGTCAAAAAGCCAGTGAAAAGATATGATTAAAACTGAGATTTAAAAAATAGATATTTATCTGAAGTTCTTGACTTTCAAAATCCACGGGCATTTTCCCTTAAGAAAAGAATAAAAACATTAAGTGTTAAAGAAAAACGTAAGAAATATTATAAAAAAGATAATTATTCAGTCAATATTAGTATTTTGTTACCAACACCAAAGACAGAGTATTTTCCAATGATTGGAAGCTAGTTTGAGTGAAGAAAAAACCGCATTACTATTACTATTATTATCCATTATTTTTATTTTTACTTTTGGCAGTGTTATTTGCCAATCAGCTAACACATGGTAGTAGACTTGATTTTTTATTTATTATAAAGGTTGTATCTTCTCATTATAAGGGAATATTTTAACTACATTGTGCAATTGTACATTATAAATGCCGCAAGACCAGATCAAGTGAAACTTCAGTGGAAGAAGTTTCTTTTCTTGTGTCTAGGGCTCTATCTCCCACCTGCTACCTTAAGTTTTTAGACGCCCTGTTCCCCAGGTCCGTGCTTGTATATTATACAAACTGTCCTTGACATAGCATGTTCCTCGTTTTTCCTTCATTATTTTTAAATGGTTATGATATACTCAAAAATAAATTCAAATATTACTAATAGATTCTAATATTATCTTATTCTCTGAAATTAAGTAGGGATGTGTATT